GCTGGACCCCCCCAGCAGACCAGGGAGACCGGGAGAAGCTTTTCTCGCCCCGAGGACACGGGTGGCGACCCGCCGCCCGTGAGCTCCGGGGCCAGAAAAGCCACGTTCGTAAGTGCGGATCCGAGATAAGTCGGATCTGCGTAAGTTGGGGACTGCCTGTATAGACATGGCCGAGGAAACCTGATTCTCCGCGTGCCTACTCTGATTTTTCCCTGCCGATTTCACACGCTCCCTCTCCCCGGCCTTCTGCCTTCTGCCCTTGTTACGACGCCTGTAAAATGCTGCCGTCGGCAGCTGATACATTTCACACCCATTTGGCGCAAGCCTGGCGACGGTCCTGCAGCCTTCACGGGGGTTGCTCCTGATTTACACCATGGAATGACGCAGGCGGGTGTCACTGAAGCTGAGGGAACCCCACCGGTGTACAACAACCACGGAGCTAACCCCTATCCGCCTGTTTCATAACAAGTCTGCCTGCCCGACCGGATTCCACATAGGGGCCAATGCGGGCAAGTTCCCTGGCTTGGCTGATGGAGCTGAGTCAGCACCTCCCAGGCATCAGGAAGATAAGGGTCCTCAGAACAGTGGGATAAGCAGATCTCTGGCCAAAGGAAGGAACAAACATTTGGCTTCCTGCCAGGCAGGACAGACTCATGGCAAGACAAGCCCTGGGTCAGGACAGACTAACCCTGAGCCAGGACATGCAACTAAGCTACTTCTAGACTGCAAGCTTCTTTTGGAAGAAGCTTTTCCGGAAGAGATCTTCCAGAAAAACATCTTCCGAAAGAGAGCGTCCACACTGCCAAAGTGCATCAAAAAACTGATCTGCTTTTTCAACAGATAGCGTCCACACTGACTGGACACTCTCTCACATTTCAGCTGTGATTACTATGGGCGGAATGACCACCAGGGCACCTGTGCTTTTTCCTCTTTCCTCTTCTTCCGAAAGAATTCCCTCTTCCTCGTCCACACATGCCTTTTTGCAAAAGAGCTCTTCTGGAAAAAGGCTTCTTCCTCTTAGAATGAAGATTACCATTGTCAGAAAAACCCCTCTGTCTTTTTGAGTTTTTTTCGAAAGAACGTGATTGCAGTGTGGATGTAAGTGAAGACTTTTCGGAAAATCTCTGCAGTGGTTAGAATGGGCTTCTATAAGCTAGGTGCATAACTGGCTGGATAACTGTCTTCAGAGAGTAGTTATTAATGGTTCACAATCTTGCTGGAAGGGCATAACAAGTGGGGTTTTTCAGGGGTCTGTTTTGGGACTGATTCTGTTCAATATCTTCATCAGTGTGTTAGATATTGGCACAAAGAATATGCTTATTAAGTTTGCAGATGATACCAAGCTGGGAGGGTAGGGTCATAATTCAAAATGAACTGAACAAACTGGAGAAATGGTATGAGGCAAATAGGATGAAGTTTAATAAGGACAAAGGCAAAGTACTCCACTTAGGAAGGAACAATCAGTTTCACACACACAGAATGGGAAGTGACTGTCTAGGAAGGAGTACTGCTGAAACGGATCTAGAGGTCATAGTGAACCACCAACTAAATCTGAGCCAGCAGTGTGACAGTGTTGCTAAAAAAGCAAACATGATTCTGGGATTCATTAACAGGAGTGTTGTGAGCAAAACACAAGAAGTCATTCTTCCACTCTACTCTGCGCTGAGTTGGCCTCGATTTGAGTATTGTGTCCAGTTCTGGGCACCACATTTCAAGAAAGATGTGGAGAAATTGGAGAAAATCCATAGGAGAGCAACAAGAATGATTAAAGGTCTAGAGAAGACCTATGAAGGAAGACTGAAAGAATTAGGCTTCTTTAGTTTGGAAAGGAAAAGACTGAGAGGAGACATGATAGTGGTTTTCAGGTATCTAAAAGGGTGTCACAAGCAGGAGGGAGAAAAATTGTTCTCCTTGGCCTCTGAGGATAGGACAAGAAGCAATGGGCTTAAACTGCAGCAAGGGAGGTTTAGGTTGGACATTAGGAAAAACTTCCTAACTGTCAGGGTGGTGAAACACTGGAATAAATTGTGTAGGGAGGTTGTGGAATCTCTATCTCTGGAGATATTTAAGAGCAGGTTAGATAGACATCTATCAGGGATGGTCTAGATGGTACTGGGACCTACCAGTCCCTACCAGTCCAGGTCCCTACCAGTTCTAGTGTTCTATGATTCTATGTTCTTACCTTTTCTCACGTGAGCAAATTTATTAATGAAAATGGGTATTAAGCAAAAGCATATGCTTAAGTGTTCATATGATTGGGGCCTGAGACTGGAGTTACCTGAAGATATGGACCCGGTCTTCTTTTATTCCTGTTAAGCTCAATATACATCTAAGTTGCTACATAAATCATAATGCAAATCTAAAGTTGCATTATAAGTAACTGTAAAGAGATCATTTAACTGAATAAGTTTCCTTTCTTAAATTAGTGAATGTTTCTTAGGGTATACAACACCAAACCACATTGCCTTAAGGAACTGTAAACATTTTAGAGTGATTTGCATTTTCTAGAAAGAAAGCAAAGAGGTCAGTGAAACAGAATGCAGACAGCCAATTTGGCAACAAACTCCTGCTGTTTCTTAAGATGAAAAACACCACTTAGAGCATATTCAAAGTTTACAAAAGATCCCCAATTTACCTAATCAGTTTCCATTAGGTACATTAAAGGCTAAGTACAAAAAGGATTTTAATAGGTTTAGAGCCCTATTGGTTTTATAAGTTAGTAACACTATTATCCCCACAGAGTGGGCTCTCTGAAGTTTCTGTAACACTCCAGCTAGGGTAAAGAGCATCAGCAAAGAGCAAGCTTAACAGCATGAATGACATTGTCAGGTCAAACTCAGCCCAAATTTAATCCCTGATCCTGTGCATGGATTCACATAAATTTACATTTCCCCACAGAGCTTCATTACATTTAACAGACTCTACAGGGGTACAAGAGTCCTTGTATCCATCCAGGTCATGAGCAGTCAGATCTGGTGATTGGATCAAGAAATCAACCTACTAGTTACAGCTGAGTCCAAGATGGGAAGAGACCAGCAGCAAGCCAAGGATCAGTACTGGAGGAACATAAGCAAAATCCCAGAGGCAGAGGCAAGAATGTAAGTCAGAAGCAGGAAGGGAACAGAGACTGAAACAAGGGCAAGCGTAGCTGCGGGTACGGTACACACTGAGCAGTCACTGATCTACTGTGGCAGCCAGGCCTACTTGCCAGGCTGAATAGCAAATCAAGGGGCCGTGGCTACTCCATCAGTTCCAAGACAATGCAGCTGAGCTCATAGATTGCCAGTCAGTAAAGTTACTTAGGGAACAGGCCAGCAGCTGGTCCTCACTGATTTGGACCCTGACAGTCCCTACCAATTTGGGTTTTAGGTCCTAAATTTTATAAAAGCCTATATGAAACATTTCTGCGAACAGTATTTTTAAAAGAAAAAAAAAACTTTTTGGAAATTATTATGAGAGGAGTAGGAGATCTGGATCCACACTGGAGCATTCCCAAAGTTAGGGAGTTTGTGGCTTCAGGCTTTATCTGGGAACAAACTCCGTGGGTTGTTTTATTTTGTTTTATTAATAAATACATTTTCACTTGCTGTTCTTGCAATCCAAAGATTGCAATACTCTACTAGGCCTTGATCTTTTCCAGCTAAGTTAATGGCAAAACTCCCACTGAGCAAGACTGGAGCACAATAAGATCTCTAAGATCGCGGTTAAATGAGCATTTGTTTTGCCAGCATATGCACTGATGTGCACAGTTCTATGTCATGGGGAGATATCCTTCCCACATCATGGGTACCACCACTTATTAAGCTGGATTTATTATGGCAGTGGGAAAGTTCTCTCCCATCGGCATAACACAGCTATATGAGCAACCTTTCAGCAACACAGCTGTGCCACTCTAAGTGCAGACATGGCCAAATACAAAAGGCAGTGACAGCGAACTCAACAACATGAGTACAAACATAAAGAAAACTAATTAGTCCTCTGTATTTTCACATAGCTGACACCTGAGTAAAAATCATCAACAAGCTAGAAATTCTCAGTCTTCATTTCATTATATTTCCATGCACTAACACTTCACACACACTTTAGTATGTGCCTATATATAAATGTGGACCTCAACTTACTATGGTGATAAGCATGATATAAACGGAAGAAAAAAAATAAAATACAGGTGGGACCTCCCTGATCCAGCATCCTTGGAACCTGAGCAGTCCCACTGGACCACGGGAAGCCAAAGCTCCCCTCAAAGCTGTTGGCCCTGCTCCCGGGTGCTAGGCCACCAGGCTCTGCTCCCAGCTTTGGCCAGGGCTGTGCTCCCTACCATGCCAGCACTGCTGGGGCTACACTCCCTACCACCAGACGACCAACTCTGGGCACCTTATGCTGATCCAGCAGTATCCGTGGTTCTGATGGACCACAGATGATACTGGACCAGCATGTCCCAGATTTTAGCATCTCAACCTCTACTTACCCTTATGCAAAGCATATATTGCACATGAGCACTAAGAGAGACTGAATCGGTACTATATCTTCCCTTTACTTCTAGCCCCATAATATGGCAAACTGTCCTCTTCACGTTTGCTCTGGGTATTGTCCTGGGACTCTGAAACATTTCAAATCAAAAGGCCTTGCTTAATAGTCGATCCTACACCCCTCAAAGTGTCACAGCCACCTGGTTGTTCTGTGCTGCCATGACTCCAAACAGTTGTCATGAGCAGCTGCCCTGTCACAAACCCATATGCTGTGATGCAATAACAATTGTCTCACACTACTGCTTCCAGTAGCCGCTGTTGTGCAGGGCTCTATCACTGGTCTTAAAGTAGGCCAATTCACATTTGCTCTGCTGATGTAAAGTGGACATAAATCTACCATAAAGGCCTCTTTGAGGAATTTCTCAAGGTGTGGGACTTACTAGAAGGCCCAGAGTCAGCATAAATGGCTGCATGCCCCTACGGCTAGAGTTCTGGAGGCAGGCAAGGGGCATGTCCAAAAGGAAAGGATGTGTAGCAGGGCCATCCCTATAGATGCTGGTAGGTGAGGACTTGCGAGTGTGAGCTGCTCTACTGTGTCCCAGGCCAAACCAGCTACTAGCAGCCCCAGCATAAGTCAGGCAAAAAGACGGCCTAAGCTACCTTTATGTCTCCCTCAGTCCCTACTCTGAGTGCAGCTCAGAGGCAAGAATGATATTTCTCATGGTTCCCATGAGACTTCTCCAGATGTTCAAGAACTCAGTTCAGCTCCAGTTTTGCCACTCAGGTTCCTTTATTTGCATACAATAAGCTATGAGTTGACCAGATTCAAGTAATGGGTGGGGAAAGTGTGCGCCACTACCCACAGTTATACAGTGTAACTCTTCCTTTGTACACATTTACACAGCATTGAATTTATTATGCATTCATCATGTTTTGGGGCTTGGCTTAGTAACTCTGTAGGAATCAGTCCTGGTACTGCATGGTCTATCCACGCACTGGCCATATACAACTTACTCTAAACCTCATCATTACATGCCCAGCTAATCTTATCTGTTGCTAGCTTGTCCACTATAAATAGTTCCCTGAGTGATCCCCTTTATCTTAGCCAATATGGACATTCTGTTTCTAGACTGCTAATTTATTTACCTCCCTAATCCTGTCTCTCAAAAAATAAGGCCTCATTCATGTCTAATTATTCACGTCAGGCCTAAAATATTAGGCCAAAGTATCTCTTTCAAGTGGCAATTTCACTCCCTCTGGGATACCTGGCATTGGCCACTTTTTGAAGAGGAGATACTGGACTAGATGGACCTTTGGTCTAACGCACTACGACTGTTCTAAGTTATGTTTTTATGGCATTTATTTTAACTAAATCAATTTCATTGAAATATTTAAGCAGGATATCCCATGTTCTAAGATCCAGTAGCGATGGTTCATAATTGCAGTCTGGATGAGATATGATGAAGAGTAGTGTATTTAAGAGCTACCACGTTTTCAGGTGAAGAAAAACCAAATTCGTTAGGCCAGGCAAGTCCAATAATGGGGCAGAAGACATGGTGGCAGTCTGCGATAACCAGAGAAGTAGATTCTGTCTGCAAAGAAATTCTTTTCTTGAAACCTGGAGGGATTCAGATTCTTAAAGTTCCTATTGAAAGTTGAATTCTGGCATAGCTGTTACCCACCGCCAAGTCTTTTTCTTTTGATACCATTCCCAGCCAATCTTCATGCTAAATATTAGTGAACATAGCAAGATATAAAAAATGGGGCCTAGGTAAAAGGAAGGAATAGTTCAGTACAACATTTCTTTGCTTCTGGGAGCTGTGCCAAGCCACAGACGGTGCTGTCTGTTTTCAAGATATAAATTCACAGGATGGGTTATTTTCACAATTTGGCATTTGTACATTTAATTCCTGGGAATCCTGAGAGCACCTGCAAAAATACATAAATAAATAAATAGATATATAAATAAATAAAAACAACTAGAGCTAATTGCTTTTCTCCTTTCCCAGTGTTGTATTTTTAAATAATAGAGCTACACGGAGTTAGCCATGAAAATTTACCAACCCAGGCACAAAATCAACTTACCTATCCTCTTAACCATAATTATTGACTTTAGTAATAATGGACTTCAGGTGAGGATTTCAAAGGCACCTAACTGCTGTAGGAATACAAAACCTTTTCAAAGTCAGCAGGATTTGTCCTCTAAGTCATCTCAGAGCTTTTGAAAATCACATTCCAAGTCTTTACACATTTTGTGAAGGGCTCAAAACATTTCTCAGTATAAATAACTAAATACATACATATATACATATATACACAAATGTTCAATTATTTATTTAAAAACAAATAAATAAAACAACCACATCCTGTCAGGCACTCAGATTTATATCTCAGAGTAAAAATAATGACGTTCATTCTCCTTCAGCTTGTATAGATATTTATGCCTGGGCAAAGTGATTGTAAAATAACATAACCAGTGCAAGTGAATGGGGAATTTTGCTCTGGCAGCTTTTTACACCCACATTGACAGGTTTCATTGACTATACGAGGGCCTAGACCAGGAATGGAGAACCTTTTTTGGATCAGGGCCTGACCCACTGAAAAATCAGTCAGGGAAGTAAAAAAAACCACCCTTCACTCACATGGCCCCCGACTCAGGAGAAAGACAATCCCCACATTCCCCTTGCACACTAGAACCTACAGGGGGCCCAGGCTAGTAGATTTTGTGTGCTTCAGCCCCATGGGGGAATTGTGGAGGGAAGGTTCAAGCACCAGCATGGCTTCCCCAATTCCGGTGGGGAGCCCTGAGTCTTGGGGCTGGATCCGGTAAGCTGGAAGCCGGATATAGCCCCTGGGCCTTAGGTTCCCCACCCCTGGCCTAGATGGTGAAAAATCAGACTCCATGTGCTCAATTCTTATTTACACCAAGAACATAAGAATGCTTCATACCAATGGTCCATCTTGCTCAGTGTCATGTCTTCTGACAATGGACAGTGCCAGATGCTCCAAAAGGAATGAACAGAAAAGAGCAATCATTAAGTGATCCATCCCTTAAGGACCATTAACACCATTCTGGTAGTGGTGAGGGACCTAAAGTGAGTATCAAGGCAACTGGTATAATGGTGCTTTCATGTAAGTGAAAAATCAAGCATAGTACGCCAACAGATGTGTACACCATATGCTAAGGAATTTGGCCAGTTAGAGGTAAGAGTGCTATGCAATCCTTAAACCCACTTCCTGAAGCACTTTATGTTTCCTTGGAGCATCTCATCCTAGCACTGAATGTCCCCAGACTAGTTAATTTGCATTAGCTGGTGTGATATGACATATCTAAGGCCCTGCTTATGCATAAACTTGCTTTGGCTAAATGAAACTGGTTTAAATTAAACCATTTCAAAAGCCTGTGAAGGCATTCTTACTCAGTTTAAGAATGGCTAATTTTAGGTTAGTTTACACATATTCTTAATTTTAACTAAACAAAAAGAATCCTATGAAATAAAAGAGCACATACAATCCTTTTTTACTAGTTTAGCTACGCGGAGTCAAAATTGTAGCATAAGTTAAACTGTTACAATTATGCATGTATATAAGCCCTAATATCCCAGGATGTTGTGATGAGTGCCTTAGAAATATGGAGAGTGCACTAAGAGGATTAGCTACTTGACAGTTCACCTCAACCTTTCAGGACCCAGGACTGAGCATGGAACAAAGACCAGTATGAGAAAAAAATGCAGGAAAAAAATTATTTGGGATTCATGTATTTTATGGAATTGACATTTCTACAACCTTTGTAAAATCAGAATTTCAGTATTTCTCATATCTGTTATTTATAGCAACAAAAGAAATTTTATATAGGTTTATTACAGTAAGGATGTAAGGAAAAGCTTTCAATCTCATCATGTTCCACATCATTCTAATTATCAAGTCCAACTGAGATACTCTATTAGAAAGCAGATAAAGCATAGAAACAAAAAACTCTGGTTATGTATCAGTACTACCGCTGGAGTTTTAATACCACTTTTATTTTAATGTGCTTTTTGCATTTAAGATTTAAAACTATACCCAAAGGATGGGTGGGAAGTACAATTATGTGTGTTAAAAAAAAGGCAAATTGTAACATCTTTTACTTTTGTTCAATTTACCTAAAAAGATTTCAAATAAGAGGAAAGTCAAGGAAAGTTATTACAAATTCTGATTTTTATAATCTCCCACAATTTAGTTCATTATATTAAAGTAAAGGGCAAACAAAATATGAGAAAATTATTATATAAATTGCTGTACTGAACTGGAGAGAACAAGACTAGTCTTATCTTTCTTCTGCCATGCATATTTCTTTTTCCCCATAAGAGTGGGCTCATGTATGATGTTAATAGTGTTTAGAAAAAAATCTTCCATTTGATAATCTATTTAAAGTTTCTTCTTAATATTTCTTTCCTGTGAGAGTCTCACGTTGCTGCAAGAGACTGAGTACCTTGATCTCATACATCTTCTTGTACATTAGCCTGGGTGCGATGATGGCTAGACTGGAGGGGCAAAGGTTATGTGCCCTCTTTAAGGTGTGCATGGCCAATGGTTTACCTGAGCCCCACCAGCCTGCCCACCAACTAAGGTGGTATCTCCTCTTCAGCCTCCCACTCCCAACTCTCAAGACAGGGGAACCCTTAAAAGAGGCACTACTTTTTTCCCCCACCAGTCCAAACAGAGCACTGCTACCTTGTGGTTAAGGATTGTGTTTCTTCTCTGTGATTTTTATCTTTTTTTTATCATGGTTAATGTTACCCCCACAATTTTCTCACTGGAGACCACCCAGGGTTACACTAGTGTGGGTTTATTGCCACTAGGTAAAACTAAAGAGGAGAGAGCAGCCACTAAAGGTTTAAACTAAAGAAGATACAGAGCTTCTTTATCTTTGTTATGCTCTTCTTGATACAGGAGATAAGGAATCATCCCCTAAAACAGAGGAGGAGAAGCCTCGTACTCCCAAGGCTGGGAGGTCTTCTGCCACCACTGCGAATAGGAAACGTAGGGTAGTGGTGGGCGGGGGTTTCCTTCTAAGGGGGATTGAGGCACCCATCTGTCATCCTGACATGTCATCTCAGGAGGTATGCTGC